TAGGGAAATGCCTAGCACAGGGGCAGTTGCCATAAAAAGTGGAGTAATGATGGTGATAATTTGAAGCTTAGTTGATAATGCAGCCTTCTGCACATGCTGTTCAGTTTTAAAAGTGTAGGAGGGTCAGTCGGACTTACTAATAGCTTTATCCACTCCTGCTCCCAGCATGCCACGCTTTGCATTCAGCAATCAGCACTTTTTGGTTTTCCATACCTTATTTTCCTTGTCTAGACAATTCATGAGGCAGCAGGCAGATTTTGCAGTAGGGTACCTCAGAGATCTTTAACACTTTGTGCAGGCACCCTTCCAAACATGAAACAGATCAAATTTTAAATTACCTTAATAAAAAAGTGGAGGAAAAAAAAATTGGCAAACTTTTGAAACTAACCATAGCTTATATATGGATTTCTACAGTTACAAAAGCAGGAGTGTTTTTCACCTAATGTTGGTGTATGCAATCACAACTATAATTGGGTAGACCAAGCTCCTGGAATGGTTCAACTTTTTCTGTGCTTTGTGTGGCTGCAGTCACCATAGCAAACAAGCTGTTTGTATTTAGCATTTTTTATTATTACACTTGTATTGTAGTGAAGTCACCTATAAAACAAAGTTGTGCTTTGTGTGGCTGCAGTCACCATAGCAAACAGCCAAGCTGTTTGTATTTAGCATTTTTTATTATCACACTTGTATTGTAGTGAAGTCACCTGTAAAACAAAGTTGTAAGATAATCATAGAATCATAGAATGGTTTGGATTGGAAGGGACCTTAAAGATCATCTAGTTCCAACCCCCCTGCCATCAGCAGGGACACCTTCCACTAGACCAGGTTGCTCAAAGCCTCATCCAACCTGGCCTTGAACACTTCCAGGGAGGAGCAGCCACAACTTCTCTGGGCAACCCGGGACAGTGTCTTACCACCCTTACAGTGAAGAACTTCTTCCTAATATCTAATCTAAACCTCCCCTCTTTCAGTTTAAACCCATTTCCCCTTGTTCTGTCATTAGTTGCCCTTACGAAAAGTCCCTCCCCAGCTTTCTTGTAGCCCCTTCAGGTACTGGAAGCCGCTATAAGATCTCCCCGGAGCCTTCTCTTTTCCAGGCTGAACAGCCCCAACTCTCTCAGCCTGTCTTCATAGGAGAGGTGCTCCAGCCCTCGGATCATCCTGGTGGCCCTTCTCTGGACTTGTTCTAACAGGTCCATGTCTTTCTTATGTTGGGGGCTCCAGAACTGGACGCAGTATTCCAGGTGGGGCCTGGAGTGCTTCTGATAATGCTCCTGATGCGATTGTGTTCTGTAACCACTGTCACAGACTCCAGTAGAAAATTAGCCTTTCAGGAACTTTGTTACTGATGATAGCGAGCTCTGTATGTACACAGGATTTGGAGTTAGTTTTCAAAGCATGAATTAGTATCTTACTCATCTAATAACATCTCTGTATTTTAGTACTTGGGATGCAAAGCAGGGTCCGGTGAAGGATGCCTACAGCCTGGCCAATAATCCTCAGTACAAGCTAGAGGTCCAATGTCCACAAGGCGGTGCTGCCGTCTGGGTTCTGCTTAGCAGGCACATCACGGATAAGGTGCTGGCTTCTTTATCTTACTTTTTGTATATGATGAGTTCTACAATATCTTCTGTAAACCTGTTTATATAGCTTTCTATGTTATTTGTCTATTACTGCTTATATTTTCATGTTTAAGTATGTACACCTATGTACCTGTATAAATTTTAAATTCAGCAGATACACATAATTTTATACAAGATTGTTGAAATAGACCCAGAATAAAAATTTGACTGAAATCATGTTCTCCACCATAAAAGTAATGAAATAACTCTGAACTGTTATAAGTGAAATTAGTGGCAGTTTGTTTCAGGCTTTTTTAAAATTTTTTTTAAGGAATTGGATCAGATATCTTAGTCAATATGAATATCAGTTATGTGGTGATCAAAGGGGATGATAGATTGTGTACTTGATTCTGCATTAGCTACATTCCACAGAAGTGTACAATTTTTATTGATTTGTGGTTTTTTTACAGGATGACTTTGCACACAATCGGGAATTCATTACAATGGTTGTATACAAGACTGATGGAAAAAAAGTTTACTATCCAGGTTAGTATACCTTAATTGTCAAGAAGATGATGTTAGAAATAAATGAAGAACTACAAAGGATTTTGTGGATAGGAAAAGCATTTTTTGCTTTAAAATTAGATGCTTCACTTCTGAAACTCTCGTTTAGCCCTGTTTGACAGTCTTCAGCAGTCTACACTGAAGGAATAAACGAAGCTGTACATGTTGGAAGCACGCTAAGAGGTCTGCATAGTCCTGCTGACACTTAATTTGGCGTAGCATTTTCTTTATTGTTCTGTTGATTCTGCAGTGTTAGTAGTTAATGCTTAGAAGGAACAGATTAAGTGCTTCTGTTTATCTGATAGCATAATTATTTCCTAGATTTGTGAAATTATTTAAAGGTTTACAGCTTCCAGTAAATGAAAATAATCAGGGTTAATTGTTCTATGAACTTGGCTTAGCAAAGTACCTAAACAAGCTCATGAGATACAGCTGAACACTTCAACATACTGCAAAGTATCAGGTATGGAATGTTTAAGAAAAATATTGAGAAATTAAAATTTTCTGAATGTATTACTCTTGGTCATTAGAGGTCAGAGTCTACTCACCTCAAGAAGGGACTTGGCTTTTGGAACTTTGTTCTAGCTGCAAAAAAGCTATGTCTGTTTTATTTCAAAACAGAGAGCAGATCTGAAACACAGGGTAAGACACAGAAAATGAGGTAATGCCCAGACTGTATGGCTAGGGGAGACTGCAACTTTAAGGTAGAGCTAATAATATCATATATTTATTTATTCTTTACATCAAGTTAGAGATCTCTGTAAAAATACTCCTTGGAATAATTCAGGGAAGGTGCACCCTAAGGCAGGTAGGATTTGGCCTGTTGCTTTTACAGTTCAGGAACCACTTTAGAACCAGGGTTGCATTCAGGTAGCTGCTCATACAACAGGTATAATAGCAAGTAAGTTAGTTAGAGAGTAGCTTTTAAAGCTTTTTTCACCAAAGAGTGGAATTTGTGGGTTTTTTCCTATTGAAATGGCTGGTAAGGGTTGCATTGTTCATTTCTAGTCTTGTTCAGTGAACTCCACCAAATAGTTCCCCTAGAATCCAGGCTGTCTTTCTGCAGAAAGCATCTGGTTGAGACCTAACTAAATCATCATCTGTTTTTGCACGAGCTGATCTTGCTAAAGCATTGGCTTCTTACAGCCCAAGACTTGCTTCTGGTGGCATTTGTACTTGTAGCAGTGCTTCTTTTATATGTGTGTCTTACCGAAAAACATTCTTAAGTGGGCAAACCAAACACATTTGTGTAGTGGAGGGAATTGTTCAGTTGTGCTTGAAAGAGAGTCTTCCAGCAAGACCACTAGCAAGAACTGGATGATTCATTTGTCTTGCTACCCAAACTCTTTTATGAACTTTTAATCTCACGAGCTCAAACTCATTTAAAACCCTTTTCCATGGAAATAGATTGGTCAAGCTACAGCATTATTTTTGCCATCTGTTACAGTGAGATCAGAACAAAGCAGGTTAATCCTTTGGCAGTGAGGCTGAGATTTCCCATTCCTAAGCTTCTCATTGTTTTATATTAATCCTTTCCCATCTCCCATGTCACTTTGTGGAAGAAAATGAAAGGACCTGATCCTGGCCCTATTGAAGTAATTGGCTAGACTTGTTCCTGCTTCACTCAAATTAAAGGAAGTCTGGAAAGAACCAATTAGAGGCCAAATAATAAATTACATTTTCTAATTGTAAAAGCAAATATTTGGGATGTTTATAATAAGTACCGCATGTGCATTGGTACTGGGATGCAACTACACCTGTGTAATGATCACAAGGATTTGGGGAGAGAGAGAGAAGGAGAAAGTGTGTGTAATTTAGTTAAAGAAAACAAGATGTTTTAAAGTCTTATTTACTCAGTGGCCAAAGATTTTGTCAGCTTGCATTCTTCAATGGAGAAGGAACAGACTCCTCAGAGAGATTTTTGAAGAGTGCTCATACATTCCTTATTTTTCTTGTTAAATTTTAACATAATCACAGTATGTCTTCTTTGAGTAGGGACATTGGTGGGAGATGGATAAACCATTCTTGCAAGTCGTGGGATTTGAGCTGTACTTTCAAGTGCAGAATTTGTGTCCTTTCATGTGTGATGTGTATCTCCTGAAAATGATAGTTGCTCTCAAGATTATCTGTCCTTTTTATGAGCAAATCTTGAGGCTCTGTTCTTTTGAGAGCACTCAGGTCTGCTTACAGTCTAACCTTAGTACCATCTTACTTAGTAAGTGTTTATCCTTTTCTTTTTCAGCTGATCCTCCTCCTTATATCGATGGTATTCGGATCAACAGTCCTCATTATCTGACCAAGATAAAGCTGACCTCTCCAGGGCCCCACACGTTTACCTTAGTGGTGTCCCAGTATGAGAAACAAAACACTATTCATTACACCATCAGGGTATGTACTGTTGGCTTCATAATGAAAGTAAACAAACTATAAAGTATCCTTTATTTGTAAGTTTTATTTAAAAAGTGTACTTCAGGATTGATACTGTTATTTTGGGGAGGGAGGCTATGAATGATGGAGCAGAACCACTAGATGAAGTGCTTGATAATGTTCTCTATTGTAGTTAAGACAACATAGTGTGTGTTTTCAGTAATTAAATCAGCTGAAAAATACTTTTATTTCCTAGAATAAAAAATTAATATCTGTGTAGAGGTAGAGCATTGGCTCTCTGTGTATCCAAAATAAGCCTATTTCAGATCCCAGTTAAGGCTTAAAGTTTTTTGACTTCTCTAATTCCTTGGACTCAGTATTTTGAGTTTTTCTGTCATGTGATGATCAATGCCAGAGGTCTCTCTCTGTCACTGAAAAAAGTAAGATGTAGACTGTTTCCATTTTGCTTTTTTTTTTTTAACAAAAATTTAGAACTAAGTCTTGCTAGTCCCAGCACTGTTCTGGATTTTGAGTTTCAGACGGGGTTGTTGGACGAGCAATATGGCCATGTAGTGAACAAGTATCTAAAGATGATGTGTAGGTAATTCTGCTTTTATTAACATGTCATGATTTAATATGAAAAATGCACGATGAATGTATGACTAGCTTCTTCTTTTACAACACAGGTGTATTCCTTGTGCAAGTTCACCTTTTCCAAGATTCCTACACCTTACACCATTTCCAAACGGGTAAAGAAATATTTTCTTTTGTGGCTCCCTAGATAATAATTTTGGTTTGGCTTTTCCATATTTGAGAAAAGGTTTTAAAATATATTTTGATACTACTGCCCAAAAATGCCAGCTTAAGCCATCTTATAACAAATAAGACATCTTATAACAATAGACACTGGAACAGGTTGCCCAAGGAAGTTGTTGATGCACCCTCCCTGGAAGTGTTTAAGGCCAGGTTGGACGAGGCTTTGAGCAACCTGGTCTAGTGGAAGGTGTCCCTGCTGATGGCAGGGGGATTGGAACTGGATGATCTTTAAGGTCCCTTCCAATCCAAACCATTCTATGATTCTATGATTCTATGAAATGAAACTTCTTAACTAAAGCTTAATCTAAGCATCATTAGCACAAGACCAATCCTGTGCTCAGGTTACATATAATTTGCCAAACAGTTAGCTGCAGTGTTAGCATAATTCATACCAACCTCGGCAGCTTTGAGCTGGCTCACTCTGTTCACACCGTTCCGAATGGATGGTGGCTGAACTTTCACCAGCATTTGGTATGTAAGCTCCGCCGTCGTTACAGAGTGTTTTGTCACAGCTGTACCATTGCAGATCTACTGTAAAACCTTTGTACAATAGACTGGCCTTTAGAATATAACAACCTCTACCCTAATACATAATTACTCTGCAGAGATCAGATTTTGCTAGTACTACCACAGAGTAAAAACCCTGTTGCTCACTTTCCCTTGAGAGAATTGCATTATTTTCTTGGAAAAACTTGGCATGATGGGACAAAATCAGCAATGACAAACTAAAGGCACTAGTAGCAAGACTGTGACAAATGGACTTAGGATGTCAATATGACAATACATTACTGTTCCTAAATTTTGCAAAGACTTCTCAAAGGTCTGTAAACACTGGGATAAGCACTCACATTGCCAAACAGGACAAGGCAATATACCCATGGTATATTTAATGTAGAAATGCTCCCTGAGAGTACAGCAGCAGGGGCAAGAGCAAAAAACTTGACTGAAATTAAGTCAAAAGCCCAGGCAGTTTTGGGGCCAGCTGCTGTTCATATTTCAGCTGTCAACATGAGCTGCAGTTATACCTTCAGCTGAAGTATAAATGTAGCCAAGTAACTTGCATGTATTTTCATGTATTAGCCATCTTACCCTCAAGAAAAAATAAGCCAACAGGTGTTAACGTTAATCTCTGTACCTACCATGCATACCCTGGGTAATCCTACTATAGGCAGAAGTCTTCTGTCCAACCAGTAACTTCTTCAGGAGGAGAGAAGCAAGGCTAGTTTGAGCCACAGTGAAACAGTCTGTCAGTTTTGCCTGAAGCCAAGGATTACGTTACTTTGTGTGGTCAGGGGGAGGTGTCAGCTTGCAGCTAGGCTCTTCAGGTCAGTGTTTTGTACCAGCTGTTATTTCTGGAACAGCCCTTTGAAGCTAACCTGTCCTGGAGAACGGTAAGTGGCTAGAGAGATTCCCGGGAACAGTGAGAGGATTTGCTTGGTTCTTCTAGAAGCCATTGACCTTTTAGCTCTTTAAAACTGAGCTTAGTTTGGAGGAATGCTTTAAGAGGTCAAGATCTTATTGAGGATGACCAGCCTGTTTGAGGCAGGACGTTTGGTTTATGTTGTATTATGTTTCAAACAAAAATTAAGTATGTAGAAACCTCCTGTTAATTATTTGAAGATGTCTGCTAGTATTCAAATAAAAGGCATGTTCTATCTATCCAAGGCCAGCTCTGTCATTATGACTAAATACAAAAAGTTAGCTGCATGTGCTTAATGCTTATTTTGTGCTTGCTTAGCAGTCATCACACTTAAAAATGAGCAGATGACTAACTCACAGTTTACCAGTACAAGCAAGTTCTCTTGGACGTATTATAGTTGAGTGGTCACTTCTGGAGCTCACCAAGCCCTGTGGGGATTCCTGGAACTAAGTGCAAGGTGGAAAAGGCCTGGATAGCTAACAGTGCACAGCAGTGTTAGGTTCCTGGGTAGGAGCATGGTGGGGGGAGAAATCCCCCTTGCTTCCCAGCTTGCCGTATTTGAGGGGTTTGGATACTGAGTAAAGAAATTAAAACACAAGAAAAAATGTTGTTCTTTGCTGGCTTGACAGAAAAGGGAGGGACGTAACACAGGAGGAATGGATCTCAGCTATAATTTTGTGTGAATGCCTGGCATGTCTTACAAGTCTAACCTTTCAGTTTAATGACTAGCAGGAGGAACTTGCAAACAGATGGCCTGTTTCTCAAAGTCGGAGCAACATTTTTCCTCTTGTATGTCTTTGTCCTTGTGGAACCTGGTCTTTATGGATGTTTTTTCCCTGTAACACTGGTTCTTAAGAGTGCATAGAGCTGACTGGACAGGGCTGGATGCAGCAATTTCGAAAGCCAAAGTTAAACACAAGTAGTGTTGCACTTCCTGTACCACTGTTGTTTCTCATTTAGCGCAACAGAGGAGGGTCTGAGCAAAACAAACAAACAAACTTGTGTAGTCCAGTAATCATGAGATAGATGGGAATCTTGATCTTCCATCAGATGCAGTTTGTCAGTCAGAAGTAGTGACTTGTTATTAATATAAGCTCAAAAAAATATAGTACCACTAAGGGTTTTATGGCTTTGATTGAGGTGAGTGGAGGATTGCAGCGAGACTTTCTGAATACTTAACACAGTCTTTCACTTGCACTTTGAAAGTTTGGAGAGATTATGAAAGTCAGTGACCTCTAAAGCAAGAGGAGCATCTAGTCTTGCTTGTGTGTATAAATAAGCAATACAAATCCTCAGGATATAAAGTACTTCCTATACTTCTGACTTCTTTCAGGTTAATGGACAGTGGAAAGGTCATAGTGCTGGGGGATGTGGAAATTTCAGAGACACCTACAAAAATAACCCCATTTATCAATTCCAACTGGACAAGAATGGGCCATTGCTAATTGAACTACGAGGACCAAGGTTTGTAGAGAATAAAAGTGCATCAACACAGCAGGAGTATTACCTGCTAAAGATACAGCTTTGTCAGTGCCCTCCATGGGGAGGGTGGGAAGCTCCCTGAAAATCCAGAAGACAAGGTATGAGAGGTGGCTCAGACTTAGTCCTGTTTATGCTTCTAACTTCCCCATCAATAGTGATTTAAACCTGCACCTTTGCTAGTGAGGAAATCCTTGACCTACAGGGAAAGCAGGAGCCTTCTTTCTCTTTAGTTTTGGGGCCTGAGCAGAGCTAGGCCTTGCACAGAGGGAAGAAGGTACACAGGACTTTCTCTTCCTCTTAAAACTAATTACAATCATAATTCCTTTTCTTTTGTAGCAGAGCTGATATTCAGGATACTAAACCCTTACAGGCTGTCCAACGATGGCCTGTGCAGTAGCTTCAGCTCTGACAGTGCATTTACTGGACAGAAGTACTGGGTGTCAGTGCCCTGTAGAGTAGACCAATATAGGTCAAATTCCTTTGGCAAAATAAATGATCTACCTCAAAATACCAGAATACAGCGCTTCTAAGTAGCAACATCTCCTGACATGCTGTCAAGTGCTTATCTCTTGTGAAGCTGTACAGTGGGCCCCACAAAAATGGCAGTGCTTTTCTATCCATCCATCTCTCTTTGAGGAAACTCCTTCTCTCATGAAATGAAGATAAGTACACAGGTGTGGCACTACTCTTCCACTAATTTGAGTGGGGTTTTGTATGCATTTTTTTCTGCACTTGCTGATCATATTTGGATAATTTGAATGACGGGGCAGTGGTGCCTGTCACGTGTTAACAGATAGCAGACAAACTGTCCCAAGTTATAGTGCAACATGAAAAATTCTGCTGAGATCACTGACGTTCATTCCTCTGACAGCAATCAGATCACACCCCAGGATCTGTGACCTGTGGGAGAGGAGTGTGTCACCACAAGTTTAACTACTTGAAGTCTGCTCAAATGCAGAGGCAGACTTTTAGCAGGCATTTTCCATATAGTCTAGCTCCAAACCTGAAATGTGTTCTGTCTTCCTCCAAATTCTACATTCATGTCATGGTAAGTTTGACTTAATGTTTCTGTTACAACTGTGACAAAACTTTTAGATGTCTTCCAATTATACACTGTAGTTTTTAATAAATAGCCCTTTTCATGGTAATCCTGATGACCCAAATAACTGAAGTAACAGTCTGTCACGTCACTTGCAGGCAGTACAGTGTTGGTTTTGAACTCGTCACAGTCTCAACAGTAGGAGATCCTGGTTCCCATGGCTTTCAGAAAAAGAGCAGTGGTGACTACAGGTAATACTCACTTAATGAAGTCTTAGAGGTTTGAAACATACTTCAGATCTTAGTTCTAACAGGTGGTTTCTTTTATCATAGGTGTGGATTTTGCTACTTGGAAGTGGAGAACATATTTGCTGGAGTTTACAACATTATTCCCACCACATTTCTGCCTCAACAAGAGGGTCCTTTTTTCTTAGATTTTAACAGTGCTACTCCTCTTAAGGTATCACAGCTGCAGTAAGGAGACAGATCTGTGCATTACCATTTAAGGAAGTGGTTTTGATCTGTCTTACAGTCTGAGAACAGGTGAATAACTCTTACTACACATATGCATAAAAAAATTCACATTCTAAGTTATAGCCAAAATTGTGGAATTGCCGATTGGCCAGTTAATTGTGGTAGACAGCTGTGGGTTTTGCTGCTATGGTATTGGAGTGAGCACTGTTCAACAGCTGTGAATGGGCAGAACTCAATTTATTGCAATTTTTCCACACCTCAAATCAAAGTCTAGTGAGTTAAGATAAAAACTAACATTGGAATTTGCTTCTCCCAAAACACAGGGTGTATGGGTTTAAGATTTTATTCTTAAAAGTAAACATGTAAGAAAAAAATATTCTTGTGTATTCTGCTTATTCAATCTCAGGACCAAATAGCTTTTATTACATTTGTGCTGCTATCTTGGATGTTTTCAGCATTGAACTAGTTCTCACATCTAAATGTAAATGTACTAGTGCTGAGCATGTAGAATTCCAGACTAATGTGCTCAGCTTATCTAGAATATGTATATAAGGAGTAAAGGAAGAGGAAGAAAGATCCCTGCTTTAGCTATTTCCAAAGCAAAGCAATGGCTTCACTCATGTTACATGTACTTTGAGAGCTGTTACTCCATATCTGCATTACTTTAGTACATAGTATTACAGCATAAGGTACTCTGGCTTTCCCCCTACTGCTGCAAGTCATAGCTTGAGCCAGCTGGGCAGTAAAATCAGGAGGTTAGCCAGCATCGGCATATGCTTTGTTCAGCAGGTGTGAAAGGTTTTCATCTAAAGGGGCACTGTAAGATTCTCTGTATCCACTGAGGTAGCATCATTTCCTGGTCTGAGGAGGTAGGGAACTATTCCTCATCAGCATTCCAGCAAAGAAATGTTTTATCCTCAATGTTTTCATAAGTATTCAGCCTGTAGAGGAAGGATCATTTAAACCACAGCTGCCAGCAATGCTCTTGCTGATCCCATTATAGAAGACATCTTTGAAAAAAGTACCTTTTTAAGCTGAAACCAGTAAATTACTTGAGTGCTTGGTCAGTGTCAACAGGAGTAGGGTCAGAGTTCTTAAGAAAATAGTGGAAGTGAGATTAGTGCAGAAAAAGATTTTTTTAGAAGCCTCCTACATGTGCTCTTCCTCCAGAAGATCTATACACATTGTATCTGAAGAGGATTAAAAAAACCCTAAGATTTTCTTAGTATTTAAAATACAAACTGCCTCACTGATCTGAAAATGCATTATTTTTTGTCTTTTTACTATATATTCACTATATTTGACAGTTGTAGGAGAGGGTGTTTTTAAAACAGCCCCAGGAAGATCTTTGCCATTCAGGCTGGTTTGGCAGTTCTCCGAGCAAAAAGGTACCATCTAAATCTTATTTTAGAGCACAGGTGACATTTGGTTGTTGGGAAATTGCGTGCACGTGCTGCAGGAGCACTAGAAATATTATCTGTGGGCTAAACCTGTTCCCATAGAAATCTGCTATTAGCCCTCTCCAGAAAGTACAGGATCCTTTTGTTTCATTTCCTTCATCAGACAGCTGCTTAACAAATATCTCACTTTAAAAGGGCACTGAAAACACATGCCTTTCTGACTGCAGTTCTCTCCAAGACCATCTGGGCTAGGAAATTTGGCTAGTGCCAGAAACTTACGCTGGATGAAACAAGCATAAGGCTCAGCTTCCACACTGTACTGAATTAAAAGCAAGCAATGTACTTGGTTAATGCCCAGCAAAGGTATTAAGGACAAAGAATCCTGTCCCCACCAGGATTCTTACATATACACACCAACGCTTACACACACTGTACAGTCAGGGGCTTGGCCTCATCTCCAGACCTGCACAAGATTTAAGCTTAGTATCAGTGTCCTTTATAAGGCAAGTCCTATTCAAACATGGCATCTACACAGGCTACTAGAATACCATCACTGGACATGTCCCTTCAGATATAGGACAGAACACTCAGGTGGAGTATTTAAAAGGAAATACAAAAAATAGTCTTAAAAATAAGTCTGCAGATTCTGGTTGTGGCAAAGTAATTTTACAACAAAATTTTTTTGCCCTTTTTTCTTAGACAAAAAAGTTGTTCTTTAAGCACTCTTGCTTTGCTTTGATATTTTTTTTGTCAAATACATACTTACATTTTTTTTTTTTCCCCCCACAAATAAATCTGGAAAAATTATTGGAGAGTGAAGCAATCCTTACGTTATAACAGAGCCTCAGGCCAATATGTAGGTTAAGCGTTTCTTCCCCCTACACCATTTAGCATTTTTGATCCATATGATAGAGAATATGAGCTGCTGATGGAAGCATGCAAATGTTATGCAGCAAGACTGTTAGAAAAGAATAAGGCCTGTGTGTGCAAAAGCTGCAATAGCTGCACAACAGCTTAGCCTGTAACAAAGGTACATTGGTCATGTTACTTTACTTCCAGTTAGGCAGTCATGTACCACTTGACCCTTAAGTCTTCTCTGCCTGTAAACATGCAATTCAAGCTTTTAAACATCAAAATACAAAGCCTCATAAAATATACCACCAAACATCCTGCCCTGCTAAGTTTTTTGTCACATGCCTTACAGTTCAGACCTACCACCTGAGCTACAGATCAATGACAGCCAGTTGCTGTGAGGCATTTGAAGAGGATTGACACTTTATTTGATTCACTAAGGGAAGACTACTATAAAGAAATTATTTTTCATTCTCTATCAGTGGTGCAGAGGAGTAACTGGAGCTAAAGCCTCTTCAGAAGTTTTGACATTCTCCTTACTTAAGCACTGCAAAGCCTTTTCTGTGTGGTTTTTTTTAAATCCTACTTTAAAGCTGCATCCAAGACCCTGTGATGCTGCTTTACGTAAGACTCAGTGAGCAGTACAACATGGAAGAGTGGTATCAACAGCTTCTATTGCACCTGCATCATGAGTCTGAGATTCAGTCCTAGTTTCCTGATGCACGTGTGATGTAACTACTTTGTACAGTGATTATGCACCTGACCACACAATCTATGCGGTGTTTGAACAGCCAGCTATTTAGAATTGTGTTCATGTACATATAGTAGAGAGTTTCATCGCTTAGACATTTAAATTGTTTGATAATACCAAAGAGAAGTAGAATTCCTAGGTTAACATTTGCTTTATACATTCTCACTTTGGGGGAGCTGAAGTGATCACATATACTTTGATACACTAGAGGCTTATTTTTATACCTGTGAAGGCAGCTACCATCATGTTACGCTTCAGAGTGCAGAAAGAACTCCGACAGCAAAGTAACTGGAGAAAGCTTGTTCATTTACTTGTCCTCCATAGCGATGTATGTTCATTTATGTTTGTCATATTTATAATTATGGCTTTTATGAAGTTTAAAATAAAATTAGTTTTCCATTAATTTATTAGAGATGCAGTTCTGTCTCTTTGCTTGCACATTTGAAGGGCGATTTCCCTGCCGAGCCTGGGGGTCGCCGAAGGAAGAAGGCTGCAGCAAGGTCTTCAAACAAATTTTGCAGAAGTGTGGTGTAAAAGTAAGGGTATGGGGAGTTCCACACCCTTTCATACTTCCAGTGGTTTGGGATCTGAACCCAGGCAGGACATATGCAAAGAAGTTATTTTTATATCCTGCTGA